AGTTCTAAAATTTCTAATGACTTAAAAACATATTGAAACAAAATAATTTAATCAAAAAGCTTTTAAAAGTTACATGTGGAGGGCCATCATGTAAGTGGTTTTCAAAGATCATGGGTGAGGTACATGTTTCCCCAGGGGTAGGGGAGGGGGACTAAAATATAGTCTTCCACTCCCACCCCCAGGGGTAGTTCTAATACACAGGATATAGCAAAATTGTGGAGTGGTATAGGGAAAATAAAAATATTTCGAAGATAATTTGAAGATATTTGGAAGATAATTTGTTCCTCCCTCCCAGATTGAGAACAAAGATCATGAAGATTACACATTTTGAAATTAAATACAAGTGGATACAATCCCAGTACAATCATACAAATTGTTTATCCTAGTTCAAGCCAATTTAATTTGATTGCCTCATTTTCTTTAGGTATAAAATGGCAATTGCAACAAATGCCTACCTCAGAGGTTGTTAACATAAACAATGATGATTAGTTTTTAACTAAAATTTTTGAGCATTTACCATGTGCCAATCATTGTGCTAAAGCACTTTACATATATACAGTTAGGATTGTATGAGCTAATGCAAGTTAAAATACCTAGTAGCATGACTAAAATATGGTAGGCACTAAGTTGTTAGTTTTTTTCCTTTCAAGTGCTATACAAATAGGTATTACAAATAAACACAAATATAAATAAAGCTAAATAAGACAAAGAAGCTGCCTTTAGTGAACACATATACTAGTGGTTAGACAGAATTGTAAATGGATAAAGACAACACCATGTAGTAAGTGCTATTATATTGATAAGCAAAAAGATTAGAGAAAGCACAGAGGAGGAAATACAGACAATGGTATTCCAATGTACCACTTCCGTCTTTCCTTCTTCTGCCTTCTCTTTTTCTTCATCTCTTCCTATCTTCGATCTATTATCTCAACAAATGTCCAAAGTTATGAGTGAATGTAACTTTATTGTGGAACATGAGAAAACATTCCAATTCCTTTCACCTTCATTACCCTACCAAGATTTTATCCCAAAGCTGCTATAAATTGGCATAAGAAACATAACGGTCTAGCTCTTTTTATCTTTTTAAAATTTAGTACTGTCTTCCTGTATGACATATTGTGGGTGAAAGTTATACCAGGAGATTATGTATATGAGCTACAGAAGCCTTGGTGCACAATGGTGTGGAAAATCTCTTTTAATTAATGGATTTATTATCTACCTTGTATACCATAAAGAAACTTGTTAGCAAATAAAAACAACAAAAACTCCAAAAACCTCCCAAATATGTGTTTATACCAGTGATCCTCCACCTGTGACTCTGGTGTTAAATGCCTCTTTTTGGACATCTTTACCATTTTCCTCTTATCTACATGTTTAGAGAAAGCCTGATGTCATGAGGCATAACACAGTAGTTCATCACAGAAGTACTCCTTACATTATATAAGGCATGTATAAAGATGAGAAAGAAAAAGACTCTAACATTTATTTAACACCCAAAATGTCCTAGATACTCAAATGCGATCTCATACAATATTATGTTTCATCTTCCCAAACACCTTAAAATTTTGGTGTGTGAATCAATGAGTAAGACAATTTATATTCTCAGCACTCCATTCTTTTCTTTCCTGTCATCCATCATTTTATTCTAGAGAAAAGAAAATCCTCAGAACTTTGCCCTAGGCATGACTGACTTTCTTTCCCAATGATGCCATCTGCTTGATAGAATCAGAGTACTCTGTTTATATTTGTTTGTTTGTTTGCTCCCTTGAATCTCTGTAGACCATACTAGTTGCCTGCTTTCTGTTCTCATGTTCCTCATCCCTTCACCAATATCACCTCAGGCAGAGTTTTCAGTGCAACTTGAATATCTTTCTAGAAGTAGTTTTTAAACCTTAGCAGAAGCATCATTTTTAGCATACAAAAATATTACCTGAAGAGCTTGTTAAAAATTCAGGTTTCTGGAAGTCATCCCCAGAGATTCTGATTCATTTGATATGGACTGGAATCATGGAATCTAAAATTTTAGCAAGCACTGTTGGTTACTGTAGGAGGTTCTTAGCCCTTGGAGAAACATGATTCTAGGCTGGGGGTAATCTTCTCCTCAGCTTCATTACTATCGCCTTTAGCTAATGGGACATTTCTGTCATTTCCTTAAAGGCTTCAGCACTAGGCCATCAGTCTTCTTTTCCACAAAATGCCCTACCATTATTCTTAGGAAAATTGACATCTATTTTGATGAGTCTTCTAGTACTGTAGCCAAATCCCTTTTGATCACAATCTTTAAAAGTTATATTTCAGATTTTGGCATCATCTTGAATTGTTCTAACATTTTACATTTTTACTTTTGAAAACATATTAAAACATTTAATATTTTCATATTAAAACATTTAACCCTAACTTTCTTACTTTCTAACTTTTAATAAATTATTTGTTACTTCCACTAGATAATAAAGTCTTCAGTCTTTCTAACTGCCCTTATTTATCCAACCATAATAGAAACCTCCAGTTATTCCATGCCTACTTTGTGTTAGGCCCTCAACTCAATATTTAATTGACATCATTTTGCAAATATCCTGTGAGATCGTTATTATTAACTTCATTTTACAGATGGAAATGAGGCTCAATGAGATTAAATAATATATTCAAGGATACATAGTTTGTAAATAAAAGAAACTGGGTTTAAAACTATTTTTGTATCACTGTAAAACTGTTACACTGACTGACATAACTTTCTTATTCAACTTAGATAAAATGGTCAAGACATTAGTTTTTCTTGACTCCTCTAGACTTTCCATGGTACTCATCCATTCTTGCCTATATATATCTTTACTTAACTATGCCTTTTATCTGGAATGCTTTTTAAAATTGATGAATAAATAAAGATCCCCAAATCTTCTTTTTTTGTATTTGAAACCATTTTATTTTTCTTTCCATTTAGCACTTGTCATAGACTTCTGTGAGTTATTTATATATGTCTTTCCCCTAAACCAGATTATGAACTCCTGGAGCAGGAAGCAGGGTATAATAGGAAGACCTCTCTCTGTAGAGTCGGCTGACCTTGCTACAAATTAGAATTCTGGCACTTACTGATCATATGATCTTGATAAGATACTATGTCTCTGGTCCTCAATTTATCATCCATCAGAATTCATATTTATCACACAGAGTCATGGTGAGAATTATCTAATGTCTTGTATTTGATGTGGCTCGAATAACAACTTGAATATAGTTGGCACAATAAATTCTGAACTATATTGTCCTTGACACTGTTTCCTGCCTCTTACCCCAATACTAATTAGTAAAAAGGAGGTCACATTTATTCATATAGTGGAAATGTAGGAAAAGTCAGCTATAGCAGAGCTGTAAAAATAACGGTCTGTTTTTGAGTATGAGAGAAGACCTACATCTCAAGCCCATTGTTAAGCTTAATCCTTAAAAGGATATGTCTATTTAAATTAGCCTTGACTTACTTGCACAGTACTTTTTTTTTTTTAAGATTTTATTATTTATTTGACAGAGAGAGACAGCGAGAGCAGGAACACAAGCAGGGAGAGTGGGAGAGGGAGAAGCAGGCTTCCCGCTGAGCAGGGAGCCCGATGTGGGACTCGATCCCAGGACCCTGGGACCATGACCCGAGCCGAAGGCAGATGCTTAACGACTGAGCCACCCAGGCGCCCTTGCACAGTACTTCTTAAATTAAAAAAATAAATTAATAAATGAGGTTTTGACTTTATGAAGTTGAGGAAAATCTCTCTAGTTTAACCACATTTCATTCAGTATATTTATCTGAGTCAGTAAGAGCTAGAGGATTTATGATTAAGTTCTATATTTGTATCTTTTTTCCAACAAAATAAATACATATGTATAAATCTATTATATCAGTGTCAGTCAAATCTCTACAGGAATTTGAAATGTTTTCCCATAACTGATCATGTTCAAGTACTTGCAAAAGTCAGCCCAGGGTATCTCATCACTAGTGTCAATGCTGATTTATCATTTTGGGCCAAATTAACACAGAGAATCAACTATTTCCTAAATTATAAATTAATCACTTGAAAAAGCCTTATTAACCCACTGACGATTTCATATAAACTATATTATACATGGATAACTTTAATTCCCAGTTATGTGAACCTTGTATATTTACTATAGCTGCAAGTTTTTGTGAAAAACATGTCATTTGGTTACTGCTTCACACCTGTTTTCCAAGTAAAATAGAGGAAATTCTTTGTCACGAGTACATTAGATGAATAATGCAGGTAAAAGTCAACATGGCTAATTGGCCTACATGGAACTTTTCCTCAGTCAGACAGTTAACTTAAACTGACCCTCCAAAATGCATATAGTTTCTCAATGCCAGATTCAATTTCTCCAGAAGGTTGCTTGTGTGTTTAAGGGCCTTTTCTGAACATTTTGTGTCTCCCAAGGTTGTGACTATGCCAGATTATTTTTCTCTTGTTATCATGATACAAAACCCACTGAAAGCTTAAAGCCAGTATTACCCAGTGTTACATGCTTGTTCAGGGGCAGAATGATACTCAGTTCCATTAAGGGACAGCCTTTCAATGTCGAGAGACCAGAAGGTTTGTTAAAATTGGACTTATCCTAGTAGTTCAAAAAGAACAACATGGCCAATATTCTACCACCATTTGGGAAGAGAAATCTTGCTTTTTGTTGCTGGCATGGCTTACAAGAAAGACCTAATTCCAGGGAAGATTATTCAGATCAGTAACCACTTGTATTCAAAAGTCAGCCCTTATTTGCCTCTCTTTTTAAACTTAAGCAATGGGAGCATGCAAGTCATTTTTTAAGGAGATAAGATATTTGCATTTTAGGGGCTATCTGAATGGTCAAGAAGGGGTAACCTTATATTTTAAGGCTTAACATGTCTGGTAACATCCGAGATTCTATGGGTTGTGTTTTTAAATATAGGTGTATCTAAAAACAAGATAATTAATAAAGATACTTATACCAAGAACTAATAACTCTGAGAACTTTACCTAAATATGTGCCTTAGTTCTGCAAGTTCTTTTTCTTTGATCCGCAGGTCATCTTCTAATCTTTCTATTATAATAACGTAAGATTCACTGACTTTCTTCTTCCATTCATCTAGTAAAGAAAAACAAATGGGACTGATTCATAGCTGTGCTTTGCAAACTGTAGACACAGATCATAACATACAAGTAATTAAAACTCAGGTTTTTATTCTAAATTCTACAATACTTAATTTAAATTACTGATTGTAAGCTTAAAATACAGATGTTTATATCTAAAATGCAATCATATTGAATTGTAGTAATTAAGAACCGATTTGATATTGGATAATATATTTACATAAAAGAATGTATTTGACTTATTTTATTTGATTTTTTTGCATTTTAATTATACCAATCTCTAGTTCCTAGACAAAAGTTTTTAGGTTTCAAATACTAGATTTTTAAGATATAATTCTAAAATCTCTATATTCAGCAGTATTCCTAGGAACATTTTACCTAACAATGAATACAGTTTTGTAAGAAATTTTCTGTTTTCTCTAAAAATCTTTCAGAGAAAAATAATTTGAGTTCAGATAATCTTCTCAACAGTTTCATATAATACATTGTCATATCCTCCGTGTAAAAATTAACAGATACTCCAATGATATGTTAATTATCTATAACTACTATTGAACCATGTTACCTTTGAGGATATAAGAATAATTACCCGTGCAAGTTTGGGTTGGTCTAGATTTATAATTTCCCATTTGTTAGAAGTTTCTTCTTTTCCTCAGTGCAGTTCCTCAGGTTACAAGATTCCAAGTTCAAGTGCAATGACAGTCCAGTTGAAAAATATTTTGATAGTCTGGCTAAAAATAAGCTGACTGCCAAATGGAATGTCATGCAACAATGACAAAGAACAAAACACTTTGTGCTTTCAAGAGTGAAATCATAAAGGGAACTAATCAGTCTGTTTAAAAACAGCTATATCAAAAATAAATAGTAAATGTTTCAATAGGATTATTTACCTTCATCAACTGATTATCTACCCATGCATAGGTTCATGGGCCATTTCTTTAATAGGTAAATCTAGAAAGTGGTTCAGTTACATCTGAGGTTCACAAACAGCTATTAAAACTATCTAGAGCTTCTTTCTAATCATTTTCCCCTGAGTTAAAGTAATGCCAGTTGGAAAAGAGTGACTGGTGATAGAATTCATCTCTCTATATAAATAATGGGAATCCACATCCTATGACATGCTACTAATAGAAATAAATGTAAGTTTTGCCTATATTAGAAGTACAAAATTATAAGAAGAAATTCTCAACATAGACCATGATTAAATTTTACCATGTGTTGATTATGTTGAACACCATCATAGATAAAATCTAAGACATGGAGTTCTACAAATGGCAATTCATAAAATAAGAATGACAAGAACAAGATTGTGAATAAGACTGAATGCTTCCTGTGTGATGATACTCGTCTGAGTGCTTTATATACATTTTGTCATTTATACCTCATATGTTGCAGGATTCTGCAGGGTATATATTATTCCTATATAATGGATGAGAAAATCCAGGTTTGCTAGTAGGTGGAGGAGTCTGGAATCAATTCTAGGTCTATATATTTCTGAAGTTCAAGCTAGATATTATTATTGTTAAAGTCTCCCATTCTTCTTCTTTCATTCGCCTTCCATTTACTTTATGGGGGACATTTCTCTTGGCCTATGCATATTTCTCCTGATAGAAATGAACTCAGGGTATGATGTAGAAAAAAATGGAAAACATAGGAAGAAAAGTTATCTGATTTTTAACTATGTATTTCTTTTGTACAATATAATTATACGTAGAAGATAAAGATTTCGATCTTGAAATTCAACACCAGAGGACATAGTTTTAATGTAACAGGTATGAATTTCACATTTATTATAGTTGAATATTCAAACAGTTTTGTCTTTTTGAAGTAAATGCTAAGGCAAATTTAGGATTCCCCACACCTTTTTCTCAGCAAAGGTAATCTAAGCTCCATAGGGAGGGCTTCCATACCTATCAGATATAGCTAGAGAAGTAGATAATTTGACTTCATGGACATTTCTGTCCTCCCATAGATAAAACTCTCCTTTATCTCTCCTCATCAGTTTATGCTGCCATGGCTTTTGCTGTCTGCTATTCTGTGGGGGCCTCTGGTTACTTGTTCTATGCATTCTGCATTTTCCTTGTTTGAAGGCCAGACATCTCCAGTTGTACCCGCTTTCTCTTAGCAATTATGAGACACACATCCCCTCAAATCAGAAAGTCTTTGCTGTCCCCAGACATGCAGCCTTTAGGCTCATTGGCGCAGGCAGGTGACTTCCTCAATGCTTGGTATTGAAGACCAAGTATTCAGTATAGTCCTGAACACCATACCGGGTAGTCTTCTTTAAGAGGCTTGCAGTCTCCCAAGGTGTAGCCTTGGAAAATAAGGCACAAGCTCTCCCTTCTCTCAAATTTCCCTAAAACAATCCATGGTTTCCATACTTTGAATTCAGAGGGTCAGAGATGGGAAGGACTGCAGACCTTCTTAAGGACATCTAAATCTATTTTTCCTGATCTTTCTTTTTCTGTCTCCACTATCTCAAATCTTACACCAGTATGTGTATGTATGTGTGTGTGTGTGTATGTGTGTGTGTTTACTGCCTGTACCACTTGAAAGAAAAACTAGTTCTTATATCATTTTGCATTATTTTTCCAATTTCCTGTTTAGGATATAAATTTGATGCAGTAATTTTTAGGATTTTTCCTTTTAATTTTCAAAAATATTTTTATTCTTTCAGAAAGGCTGGCTCTTACAAATGGAAGCTTTGATTTTCAAAAGCCACAATTTGTGCTGTCAGTTTGAAAATCCAATCAGCAACTTAACTGAATTTTGCTATACTCTGAAGCAATAAATTTTGTCCCCCTTCACCCCCCAAAAAAGTAGGATAACAGCATAAAAATTCAGGAAATGGTAATACCAATACCTAAAATATTAAATGTTATCAAACTATAACAATTTCCTACTTTCAAGGGAAATTTCTACAAGTCACTTTTATGAATTTGAGTTTAGGTCATGGGTTGAGGGCAGTGGAGTAATCCTCCTGCATGCCTTCTGGAAGGTGAAGAAAAGGCTGGAATAAGCAAATGACCCAGGATAACATCGCTTACTTTTCTTTCCTAAGGGATGTTGGAGGGAATCCACATGGAAGCAGGAAATATTTTCCTCACTACTGAGTATATTTCTGTAAAAATTACTTCTTTCTACGTTAAGTTGGCTAAATGCTCAAGATTGAATCCTACTCTTCCCAGTTCTGGACTTCCAAAAGTTCAAAAAGCAGGTTATCTCATCTATTATCAAAAACACAACCTAATTACAAAAGTGGTAACCTTCTCAAACTTTAGTGAGTGTAGATGCCACCTGAGGAGCTATGTAAAAAAAATAGAAATAGGGTTACATCCCTAGAAATTCTTTTTCAGTAGTTCAGTACTAGGGCCAACAAATCTGGATTTCAACATGAACACTTAGTGATTCTAATCACTCAGGTAGATGCTACCTGAGGCATACTTTGAGGAGCACCATTTTAAGACTGCTTAAAGTGAAGTCCCTACTTACCTGAAGGTTTTTGTGTCTTTGAATTCAATGTAAGAGAAGAGAGAAGAAAACATTGTGGTAAAGAGGAAAAGAAGTTGTTCAGATTCTCAGAGTTTTATCCTATGGTAATCACTAGGGCAACAGATGATTTGGCTGTGCATGTGAATCACAAAAATGCAAGTAACCAAGATGTCTTTTCATAGGTAATGAATAAATAAATTATACACACACACACACACACACACACATCCATGCAATGGAAATTTATTCAGCAATAAATTAAAAATGAGTTACCAAGCCATGAAAATTCATAGAAGAATTTTAAATGAATTTTGCTAAGTGAAAACAGTTAGATAAGGCTACATACTATATGATTGCAACTATATAACATTTTGGAAAAAGCAAAACTACAGAGACACTAAAAAGATCAGTGGTTGTTGGAGGAGCAGGGAAGGGAGAGGAATGAATAGGTGGAGAACAAGGATTTTTTAGGGTAGTGAAATTATTCTGTATGATACTGTAATGAATACATGGCATTATGCATTTGGAAAAACCCATAGGACTATACAACACAAATGTTAACTATGGACTTTAGTTAATAATAATATATCAATATTGGTTCATCAATGGTAGCAAAAGTACCACAATAATTTAAGATGCCAATAACGGGAGACTGAGGGGGCTGGTAATAAAGAGTATATGCAAACTCTCTGTACTTTTTGCTTAATTTTCCCATAAATGTAAAACTTTTAGCAGAAAAGTCTATTAATTTTTAAAAATTAAGGGAAAATATAAAATAAATAAGACCCAAAATAGTAATTTCTCCCAAGACCATTTGAGCTTTTCAAGGAATATTTATAACTTATAAGGAAAAGCCTTCTCTAAAGAATATATAACTCATAGTAAGTATTTTTTTCTTTCACTTGTTTTTCATTCAAAATATCACGGTAGATTTAAATCGTAAACACCTTAGTTCTTCAACTATTCCTTTTTTGACCAACCTTCATGTTCTATTGAATTGCCTAAATCTAATGTTAATGTCTCCATCTTTTCAACTGATTTATCAGACCACTTCAACACATACATAGATATGTTCTAATACTCTTTCAATAAGCCTATTTACATTCTTTCTGAATTCCTTTATTTTGGGTTCATATTATTTATTTATCCCAATCTACACTTGTGCATCTGCTATTTATATTTCATACTAGTCTCTTTATAAATATTTAAAAGGATGTTTTCAAGATGAAAAATACAAAAATTGACCTTGACACTTCTACCGTTATGATTCCAACAAATAAATTATAAAGAACATGTATCCTATGAAATCAAACTGATGCACTTGGAACAATTCTTATCAAATTTAGGAGTCTGAGTTCACTTACACTTAAAACCTAAATTGTTCTTTCACTGTAAATGAGTTCTTATTAATATGTTCCAAAGTTTAGGGAAGTTTAGATTGTTGATGTATTACATCTGGTTGACAAGCAATTAAGAGAATCATTGCTTTAAACAATAACCCAGAATTACTAATTGGTATACATTTAGGCTTTCTCCTTATGTTTAATAAACATTAAATTCCTACTGTTAAAACAAAATTTTCTTTTTTTTTTAAAGATTTTCTTTATTTGACAGAGAGAGAGAGAGAGCACAAGCAGGGGGAGCGACAGGCAGAGGGAAAGGGAGAAGCAGGCTCCCCGCAGAGCAGGGGGAGCCCGATGTGGGACTCGATCCCAGGACCCGGGGATCATGACCTGAGCTGAAAGCAGTCGCTTTACCAACTGAACCACCCAGGCACCCTAAAACACAATTTTCTAAAAGAAAATTTGTGTATTGTCTAAGATAAAACTATTCAATTAAAAATTATTTGATCAATTTCCTTTTAAGCATAAATTCTTGCATTTAAAGAAGCATAATTTGTAAGAGTCTTATTTATTAAACAAGTTTCCTTTCTTTTCCACTAGAATATCTAAAGTATGTTGGATGGAACTATAAATAACCATTATGAATCTGAACATTGCTGAGGTAATATTTAGATTAATCCTCAAAAATGAATAGGACTTGAGAATATATAAGAATGAAAGTAAAGGTAAAAAATCAATTTCACAGTAATTTAAACAGGTGTTCTCAGTATTTCAAAATGTGAGGATATATTAAAGAAAATAGTATATTACTATTTTTG